GAGAAATATGCTGGGGTAGCCCGATGTAGGCGTGGTCGTTCTAAATATCTAAAACTGGTCCATTGGACAAAGCCGCCGAAAAATATGACAATTTAGGCGTATGTAATCGATTTTATAGGAGGATTGTCTACTTCTCACAATGGCTTTTCTTTTTGGGGGAAAAACTGGGAATGTAAGGAAGCTGATGGGGGTGGGAAGATGGGGATTGATGATTAGGTGAAGCGGCTAACTCGCAAAATAATTTTTAACTTCTTGAGCATGATTTGTGGGCGTGGGCACGACTAGGGGATGGGCAAGTATTTTTTTTTTCTGGGGGATGGAGGCGTGCACACCTCTCGCACATCCTAGACATCCCAATACCTAACATACCCTGCAATTTTCCCTAAGGTCCGCCACTGTGATACACAACCACGCCAGAATGAACCTAATGCTAAGCATGATGACTGAAATTCAATGTGAATGCAATGAATGTTGCTGCCATGGGAAGCCACGATGACTTAATGCTCAATGTGAAGACTGCTGTGGGAAGGCACAATGTGAATCTTGCCATGGGAAAGCAGAAATTGCCAGGATTGGCCACCAGGTGCCTAGATTATTCACCTGTTGGCCTTTTCCAGTCACTGGCAACTTTATCTCATTATAAATATTTTAATTGTTTATTTGCAAGTGGGAAGATGAATAAATTAAAAATAAAATAAAAGAGTTATTGTATAGGTTAACACAAGGAAGGATGCTGAATGAACACAGATACTATGCCTGACATGTGAAGGAAATAAGGTAACAAAATATTTGGCCAACAAATCTGCACCTGCTACGTTACTGGTCTAGAAACTGCAATCTATGGCACAATTATCAAGAAATATTTATGACATGATACAATTATCTAAGAAATGTGACATAGGGATCATATTACATTCTGCAATTATTGTACAAAATTGTCAAGAATTAATTAGAAGTTATTTATTCCAATAAGGTGCCACAAAGAGCAACAAGGCATTACGTGCATGTTTAGTGAAATATTAACTGTAAATTTGTTTCAGAAAAAATCTGAATGACAGAAAGATGTTCTAGAGATCTAGGAAAGGAAAAGAATGTCATGTGACTGACACACAAATATTCAATAGTAGATATAGACCATTACTGTACCACTTGGTGAGGAGAATGAGTAGGATGATGAGGGAGGTCCAATGGTATGGAGATGCAGGAATCATAGAGAGGGATGAATTGAAGAGATGATGCAAAAGGAATTAGGGAAACACAAATGAAAGGAATGAAGAGAAGTAGGAATCAAAGGAGAGAAAAAAAAAAACACAAATAACAAGGGATGAGGAGAGGAAATAATAATATAATCTTAGGAAGTGGGGGCAGGTGAGGAAGAATAATAAAAAGATGATGGAGAAAGCTGATAATAATGGGTGAATAAGAGAAAAATGGAAGGGAGAAGAGATAATAATTAATAATGCCATCTTATAAGGGGCACATTCCACCTCATAGAGCTGCACAGAAGAACTTTATTCTTCATTTTTTCAAAAGCAAGTACAAAATGTGAGGTGATGATGGAAAGAAAAATTAAAGAATACATAAGAAAACGATATGAAAGGATGCAAGATTTATTGTGATACGACTCGCATATGCCATTCCTCATTAAAAGCAAGTACACAAAAATGATGCCACAGAATTATTACAGGATGCCTTATTCTTAAACCATATACAACATCAAAATGGAAATAAGATATAAAACACCTACACAAACCAACATGCAATGTCCCAAATACATATCTGTAAGTCACATGTTTGAGGAGAGGGGGAACAATACCACCAAGTACTGGTGTTAATAAACATATCATGCTAGGATTGGCCTATATTATAATTTTATATTCATTTCACCAGGTACCTTAGGGCCCTTGTGGGACTGTCTCTTATACATCTGTAAGTCACATGTTTGAGGAGAGGGGGAACAATACCACCAAGTACTGGTGTTAATAAACATATCATGCTAGGATTGGCCTATATTATAATTTTATATTCATTTCACCAGGTACCTTAGGGCCCTTGTGGGATCATTGACAAGACTCATACAAGATCAATTATTCCTTTGCTATTCACCAAATTTTTCATAAAAAAATTTGCCCCAATAATATTTTTGAAGTATAGTATGTACAAGCGTGGAGAAATGTCATGACTATGATAGGGTTGTGCATTGATGGGGAAAAGCAGGTGGTTAGCAAAGGTGATAATGATAAAAACATAATAAATTTCTTGTTTAAAAATTGTAACCAGAAAATGTAAGTTTAAATTATTCTGCACTGAGAATTGTCAATGATGAACACTAGGTTGTGTCTTGATGATCAATAGCAGGACTTGTTGGCTCAGACTTAAATCCTGCAAAAAATGTGAAAAGACAGATAATTTGTAAGCAATCCAATAACTTCAAGTGATGGTACTCATGTAAATACAATGGAAATGGAAATCTAAATCCTTATAAAATGTTAAAATCATCATATGAACACACAGACACACAATTTTCACAGCAATACCAATACAAACACATCTTGGACAGTGTCTTATGGGACCTGATGGCGGACACTTGTGTAAGTATTTACTTAATACAAACTATGTTAATATTTAACTCAAGGTTTGGCTTTTATGTGAAACGTGTACGGTGTCAATTGAAAGGTGATAATATATTATGAACAATGACATATGTACTGTAATATGGAATACAGATTTAGATGATTCTGATCAAATATCATATTAAAACATGCAAATAATATTTTTGTATTGGATTGAGATAAAATTCTATGATATTGTACAACAAAAATGGTTACAAAAAAGTACAAATAATAATAATAATAATAATAATTGAATTGAAAACATTTATAGTGCAAATTATACAACAATGTTATATCAAATGTCCTCACTCTATGATTGAAAGTTATGTTTTCTTAAAAAGTAATGTTCTGATGTTCGCTGTGAAAGTGGATATTGTAGAATATTACTTTATTTATGGTAGGGAGTTCCAGAGATTAGTAGCTGCAAAATTGAAAGATCTGCTGAGTTTTGAAGTTGGTGTATGGAATATATAAAAGGCATTGGTGAGAGAAAGGGTACTGTATATTCAGGAATACGCCAAGAAGGTAGGATTTATATACAGTAGTTTTACATATTAAAATGTGTGAAAATGAGATTCAACCTGATAAAACAAATTCATCATTCATTCTAATTTACATACTAATTATTAATTTCATTAGTAATTCTTCTATCTATTTAAAACATCATTCTAATATCATCCTATTAAATTCCTCTGAAAAATGAAGACCATCAACAACAACAAGCAAAACATGATTCTAGTTTCAATAATGACTGGTTAATCATGCAATAAAAAATTAATAAAGCAAAATTCAATTGTTGAATTGACAGCAATCACCCATTCTAAATGGTTTTAATTTTGTACATCTGTCTACACAATCTCATCTCCAATAGCCTTTTGAAAACAGTTACAGTATTGGAATCAGAAGAAAAGGCTTTTACTTTCTATACAAAATAAAACACTTTAGAATAACATTTATTTTAAAAGTAAACAGCCACCATTGCAAAAATAAATTTGGATCGAATCGAAAAAATGTTTTTTTCTTTGTTGGTGAAACAAGATACGTACTATACGAAGCATTTTTTAGCAATCTCAATGTACTGTTGATGTAGAGTATGACATGACACGTGGACCACCAGAAAATGTTTGTGCAAATAGTGTAGTGTAACCGTTCTTACAATTTGGATAACACAAAAAAAAAACCACTCAATCATAATAAGACACCCATGATAAGCAATAAAAAAAGTGTTATGTCTGGGAATACTCTACATAAATTAATTCTAATACAAATTGGTTAATACAATGTTACTGATCAAAATGTGAAGAATACCGTAATTATTTTTGATAAATTTTCTACAATGAGCTGGATGTGAATTTACTGATATCTAGCTCATAGTATAAAATTTATACCCCGGACAGTGTTGTCTGAGTTGTTTAATTTGTTGATGATGTTTTTGTTTAATTATGTTTGGGAATCACATTTTCTTATTTTTGCTTCTGCATGTGTCAGTATCTAACTTGAAATGCTTTTGTGTACAGTGGATACAGCAAATTGTGTTTATCTACTTTTTCTTGTGCTCTTCATCGCCTTGTTCTGTTGTTGTGGGTGGGTCTCTGTATCTGCTGTAATGTAATTTGTTTTGATTTTTGTGTAATTTTGATTTTTTTTTCAAATATTCTATATTGCCTATGATTGTCTTCTTGTTAAGGTGGTACAACACATTGCCAGGCCTTGCCTTTGTTGTATTTCCTCCATCTTTATTTGTTGTTTTATTGACGATGGAAAATAAAGATTGATTGATTGATTGATTGACTGATTGTTGTTCTATGGATTTGTAATTCTGAAAAGTGCCTTTCTCAAGAATACAATGCTCAAGAGTGGGGTTGAACCCCTCACCATATCAAGTTTGAAATCCTGAATCACAACTGCCAACAACTCCCGTAGATGTTTAAAATATATTTTGAATTACAGTTCAAACTACAAACCATGTGTTACCTATTATTTATAGGCTAGCCATATGTTATGATAACAGGTGATGCAATACAGTATACTGCTATCTTAAACCTACAATGAAAAATGTCTACTACAGTATTGGAATCAGAAGAAAAGGCTTAAACCTACAATTAAAAATGTCTACTATAAATTGCAAAAACAAAAAAATTACCAACCTATATACTACCAGTGTAAAGTAGAGTAAATTCCCTGACTGATGAATGCACTAGCTGGTTAGTGCAATTTGTGACCATATCACCAGCAGGGTGATCATTTGATATTTTATAGTGTTCATTATTGATTTTATGCTAATGGGTAAATTATAATAAGGATAATCCAATTCTAATTTCAAATATGTTGATCATTGAGCAAAAAATTCTGATTATAAAAGGCTGTGTTTGTAGTATAATCAATATCTGCAGGATTAAATTCATGAACATTTTGTTTGCCAAATGAAGGCAACTGGAAATTCTATCTAAGGTATACAAATAGTGAGTTCATCATTATCACCACAAACATTAATCTCAATCACTTTATTTTTAACAAATAACAGTCCGTGTGAATAATGGAATCTAAAACAATAACCAGATAATAATTAAATATATAGTGTTCCTTTACAAATAACAGGGTGAATTAAAGTATTGTACAATTAATGCTTAAAATTGAAATGATGCTTTCCTGGTAAATTAATTATTGCTCATTTTTTACAATTTAGCAATAGCAAAATAATCTGAACAATGGATTAAATAAAATGTTAAGATGTTGAATTCTATAACAAAGATCAATGAATATGTATGTACAGTAAGTCATTTATTAAGTGAGGGCAAACTCACCGAAACGCTGACACGTAACCAACCTAGTAGTTTTACCTCAAACAATATATTTTATACATAGTGTACGAATTTTAATTTAATGATTTTGTTATAGATACTTGACATGCAAACCTTCAAGAAATATTTCATTTCATTAAGACATTTTATTTGATGTAAATTATAAATGTTTTTAAATTTAAAAAAAATCTTTAAAAAAACAACTAATATGCAGATAATCTATACATTGATGTTATGAAAATCAATTCTTTCTTAAACTTGTATTCTTTTTCATATTACCAATTATAGACATTTAAGTCAATGTCTGTCTCTTATACACATCTAGATGTGTATAAGAGACAGTTATACAACAATGTTATATCAAATGTC